AGTTTCCGGGTGGTGTCATCGTGACACTGGAGGAGGCCCAGGATGAACATGTCATCCAGGGAGTGGGAGGGGGGTTTAAAATGGTTGGTGACCGGAAGGTGTTGTCATTTGTGGCGAACAGAGCACAGATGCTCCGTAAATCAGTCTCTGAGTCTGTGCTTGGTCTCACCGGTGTAGAGGAGGCCACATCGGGAGCAGCGATGCAGTAGACCACATTGACGAATGTGCAGGTGAACGTATGTCTGATGTGAAAGGTTTGTTTTGGGCCTTGGATGGAGGTGAGTGGGGAGGTGTAGAGGCAGGTTGACCAAAGTGGTGCCACTATTTAAGAAAGATGATAAGGAAAAGCCAGGGAACTATAGACTGGTGAACCTTATTGCACTGGTGTGTAAGATGTTAGGGGAGATTAAAGTTTTTGCAAAGATTCTGAGAGACAGGATTTACATGCATTTGGAAAGGTAAGGGCTGATTAGGGATAGTCAACATACTTTTGTGCATGGGAAATCGTGTTTCACTGACTTGATTGAGTTTTTTGAAGTGGTGACAAAGAAGATTGATGAAGGCAGAGCGACGGACATGGTCTATATGGACTTCAGCAAAGCATTTGACAAGGTTCTGCATGGTAGACTGGTTAGGAAGGTTACATCACATGGGATCCAAGGGAACTAGCCATTTGGATACAGAACTGGCTCAAAGGTAGAAGACAGAGGGTGGTGGAGGAGGGTTGCATTTTCAGACTGGAGGCCTGTGACCAGCGGTGTGTCTCAAGGATTAGTGCTGGGTTCACTGCTTTTCATAATTTATATAAACGATTTGGATGTGAACATAGGAGGTATGGTTAGTAAGTTTGCAGATGACACCAAAATTGCAGGTGTAGTGGACAGCGAAGATTATCTCAGAGTACAACTGGATCTTGGTCAGATGGGCCAATGAGCTAAGGATTGGCAGAAAGAGTTTAATTTAGATATGGTTAGGGTTAGGGTTAGGCAGATGGAGTTTAATTTCCATAAATGTGAGGTGATGCATTTTGGAAAGGCAAACCAGGGCAAGAGTTATACACTTAATGGTACGGCCCAGGGGAGTGTTGCCGAACCAAGAGGCCTTGGGGTGCAGGTTCATAGTTTCTTGAAAGTGGAGTCTCAAGTAGACAGGATGGTGAAGAAAGCGTTTGGGACACTTGTCTTTATTGGGCAGTTTATTGACTATAGGAGTTGGGAGGTCATGTTACAGCTGTACAGGATATTGGTTAGGCCACTAATGGAATACTGCGTACAATTCTGGTCTCCCTGCTATAGGAAAGATGTTAAACTTGAGAGGGTGCAGAAAAGATTTGCAAGCATGTTGTGGGACTGGAGGGTTTGAACTATAGGGAGAGGTTGAATAGGCTGAGGCTTTTTTCCTGGAGCGTCAGAGGCTGAGGGGTGACCTTGTAGAGGTTTATAAAATCATATGGGCCTGGATAGGGTGAACAGCTAAGGTCTTTTCCCCAGGGTAGTGGAGTCCAAAATTAGAAGGCATAGAATTGAGAGGGAAGAGATTTAAAAAGGACCTGAGGGGTAACTTTTTCTTGCAGAGGATGGTGTGTGTAAGAAATGAGCTGCCAGAGAAAGTGGTGGTGGGGCGGATACAATAACAACATTTAAAAGGCATCTGGATGGGTACATGAAAAGGAAGGGTTTAGGGGGATAGGGGCCATATGCTTGCAAGTAGGACGAGGTCAGTTTGAGATGTCTGATTGGCATGGATGATTGCACCGAAGGGTCTGTTTCCATGCTGTATGACCTTATGACTCCTTAACCTCTGAGCAGATCTGTTCAAGGCTCACTGCCCTTTATACATTGCCTGCTCCTGTCACTGTGGAATTACAGCAACAGATTGTGGTTCAGGCTGCTCTCCCCACAGCCCCCAGTTTTGGACAGACAGGTGTACATGGACAGACAAGTCCATGCAAACTCACATCCACAGTCCCTGGACATATTCACTCGTCCTGGTTCTGGAAATACACATTGTTCTCTGACACACGGGAGGAAGTCTGATATGTTTTAGATAGCAAAACACTTGAAAAGAGGTGATGGGGAGGTTGAGCTGACTAATGCTGTACTTTCAAATGATGTTACCAAGAATCAGTGTGCAGACAACACACAGGATGGACCAAGGAGAGATCTTTCGGGGACAGCAGAGAGAATGGTGCAGGAGCAGTAAGAGGCAATTGCAAGCTGCAGCCATGATCAGATTAATTAGAATTGGACCCAGGCCACAAACAGTCCCACCAGCTGAACAAATCAGGAGGTCAAAGGTCACCACAGTCACATGGGATACCATTTGTGACTTTGACATCAGCGATTTTGATATGGCAACAGGAGTAGAAACCTGACTGGAAGGATTATATTATCTACGAAGAAACGTTGTTTAGACTGGGTTTCACTGGAATGCAGGAGGTTGAGGGGGCGACCTGACAGAAGTTTATCAGTTTATAAATCGCATAGATAGAGTGGGAAATATGAAGCTTTTTCCCAGGGTGGAGGGATCAGTTACTAGGGGACGTAGGTACAAGGTGCAGGGGGGGGGGGGGGGGGGGACAGGGTTTGAGATGTGCAATGCAGGTTTTTCTCACAAAGGGTAGTGAGTGCCTGGAACACGCTACCAGAGGAAGTAGTGGAAGCAGACACCACAGCAGTATTCAAGAAGCACCTGGATGAATAGAAAGGGAATAGAGGGATACGGATCCTGTAAGTGAAGACAGTTTTAATATGGAAGGGCAAAATGTGTCGATGCAGGCTTAGAGGACCGAAGGGCCTGTTCCTATGCTGTATTGCTGTTTGATTTAAACATGGAGCTCTCTATGGGAAATTTGGGAATGATTCTGTGAGGTGACAACAATTCCAGGATTTTGGAGAGGAATCAGAAGTTGGAGATGGAGAAACTATTTGTGTCCAGTTGAAGATGCTAGTTATTGGTAGTGGTGCTGAAGAACTATCTGCAATCTTTCACCTTTTGATTCTTCCACCCACAACAGCAAACGCTCAGTGATGATCTTAATGTGAAGAAATATTCAAGACACTCAGCCCTGTCTCTGCATTAGCTCAGTCACAGCAGGTGATGGGGACGCTATAACCAGGGAGTGTGGGCAAAATGCAAGTTCCTGACCCTGATGGAATGACAGTTTTCAAGGTGGGCAACTACAGATGTGTTTGTGATGATTCCCATGATCGATTTGCCCAGTTTCTCTACCCAGGGTCACAACCTGAGTGGGCCAGGATCTCTCCCAGTACCTAGAAGGTTAAACAGAAGGCAAATTGCATTCTGTTGTAAACTGCCAAAACATTTTGGAACTTACAGTTCTGGGGACAAGCCTCAGCCTGTACCATATGAAAACAATTATTAACTGCATTGATAATTAAAACGATCAGAACAACAGGTCAATGTGAAAGTGGGAGAAAGGAATGCAATTATTTCTTTGCAGGATTTAGCCCTGGTTTAACGTGCACTCTGAAACGTAGCCAGCTACTTCTGGGAGAGCAGCACATTCCCCTCTCTGCACGGCACATTCCTGGAATCCCTGCCACGGGAAGCACAGCTTGAACTGACTGTGGGAAACTCCTCCAGCTTGCTGCAGCCACTCAATATTCAGGCCAGATTCAGCCCTTGCTCAGAGCTCGGTTCACAGTTAGTGCCAATGCAAAGCCACATAACCAGCACCAATACTTGTGTTTATGCAGTGAGTTGTTTTTGATGTGGAAAGCACTGACTGAGAAGGAAAGTTGTGGAAACAGCTTCACAGAATTGTTACATCACAGCAGGAGCCATTTGGCCCATTGTGTCTGCACTGCCTCCTCAAACAAGTATCACCACCTAACATCAATTTCCTGTTTAGTCCCCATACCCTTGCACCTATTTCTATCCAAATAATCCTGAATGCCTCTCTTCAACCTACCTTCACTGCATATCCAGGCAATGCATTCCCTAATACCACTGTTTGCTGAGTGGAAAAGTTTCTCCTCACATAATCCTTGCCATTTTTGCACATCACCTTAAATGTATGTCCTCCATTCTTGTTCAAGAGTAACTGACTATTTTCAATAGTAGCTTGAATAAATACTTGAAAAGGAAGGATTTAGTGGGCCATAGGGACAGGGCTGGGCAGAATGATTAATTTGATAACTTTCAAAATGCTGGCTCACATATGATGACTAAAAGGCTTCCTCTGTGATGTATCATTCTATTTGAGTTTAAACCTAACACCACACTGTGATAACCTGCACTGACAAGTATTCTCTTTAAAAGCTGTTCTTTTAATGATCCATTTCAGAGGAAGTTAGGTAAATACAAGAGGGAGAAAGTAACAGACAGAATGAAGGTGCCAAACCAGCGCCAAACTGTTGTCCTGCACATTCTGAGAAGGGAAGACCCACAAGAACAATATTCTCAGTGAGTAAAGGAATATTTTGTGTGGTGCTAACTTAAATGAGCCCTCTTTCTCCATAAGATGTAGGAGAATTAGGCCATTCAGCCCATCAGATCTGCTCCGCCATTCAATCATTGCTGATGTGTTTCTCAACCCCATTCTCCTGCCTTCTCCCCATAACTGTTGCTCCCTTACTAATCAAGGATTCTGCACAGATTGTGTTGCTGAGTCTGGAGGTGTTTAAATGTCCTCTATGTTAAAGGTCTGACCATCAAACTATTACAAACCCTCAATACAATTACAAACACAACCATTTGATTCTCATTTACTAGGTACTAACCTCACAGCTCCTGCCCCACTCTGCAATGTCCCATGTTTTTTTTATTTCAAGGATGTACGTTCTGGAATTTATCCAGTGAACACCACACCACAGCCCAGGCGAGAGAGGAACTTCCTGACCTTGCAGCATCGGGTCTGAGCACAGGAGTGGTTTGGAGATGCTAGTCAGGACTCTGACGAAGAACAACAATGTGAAAACAGCAACAGCCTCTCCTCCAACCACCAGTAATCGGACGAAAAGCACCTTACCCCAGGGATTGCAGGACAATAGAGTTGAAACAGCAGCCCAGTCTGATACATAGTCCTCATCAATTTCGATCCCTACTCTCAGCAATACAACAGGTGCTAAACCAACTCAGCTTTAACCACTGTCATGTAACCAGTCGGAGGTCAGATCTCACTCCCCCACCTATCAATCCCTGGTTCTGCCTATAAAGAACGACCGTGGGAGGTTGGATGCTACAACTCAAACACAGTGACTCAGTGCTGAGCGAATTCATCATCAGCACTATGGGTTACTGCATCATGTGAGGCACAGTACCAGCAATATATACATGAAATGCAGGCCACGGCCCATGCAGTAGTGGGCCAATTTAATTATAACTACCCTTTCTGCGGTGACGAGGAGATAAACAATTTGCATTTATATAGTGTCTCTCACATAGCTCAGCTTCTCAAGGTGCTCCACAGAAGAATTATCAAATAAAACTTGATGCAGAGCCAGATATGGAAATATTTGGGCAGAACATAAAAAGCTTTGGTCAAAGGAGTGACTTTTAAAGAGGAGAGGGGTGTTCAGGTTTAGGGAGGGAATTCTAGAGCTTAAGGCTCAGGCAGCTGATGGCATGGCCGCCAATGGGGCAGCAATTGCAGAGTTCTGAGAGAACTTGTTGGGCTGGAGGAGGGTACAGAGATAATCTCACGTCGTAGCATCACATTTCAACCACTTCCATGGTGTAACTGCACTGCACGTCAAGGCAAATCTCACATACAGTATAACAGTGTAGAGTAGCCTTTGACTCTCAGTGACATCAGTCTCCAGCCTGAAAGTAGCTGAGATCAGCAAAGTTGCTATCCTTGTGGTTACTGAGCTAACACCTGGCTGTCAGTTGTTTAAGTGAATGTTAAAGATTCCGAGACATTACTCTGAAGAACAGGATACTTCCAACTCTCCAAAACCAAAATTCCTCTCTTAACTTTAATTCAGCACAACATCATGGTCAGAAGGGCCTGTTCCTGTGCAGTGCTGTTCTATGCTAACCTTTAAACAGGGAGATGACAGCGTGATGGGTAATGTCTCTGATTAATAACCCAAAAATCTGAAACTAATGGTCCAGAACAAATCCCATCAGAGCACCTGATGGGATTTAAATACAATTACTGATTCTGAAATCAAAAGTCAGTCTCAGTAATGTTGCCATGAAATTTGCACTGATCATTGTTAAACCCCATTTGGTTCACTTTTAGCTCCCACCCAAAATCCTTCCATTTCCTTCTTCAATGATACACAGACATTATTCAGTACCAGTGTTGCACTTCCAAAATAATTTCTTCAGCAAAAACAGACAAATGTGATTGGTGTTTATACAGCAAGCCAGGGAGATCTGTTAAAGGACTGGCAATGGAAGACTTTCTCCTTCATTTTATCCCCTCTCCAGTGAAGTTGTAAGCAGAATCTTCCTGCTGTCAGCCAGCCCAGGGTCCCAGCAGATGGAGCTCTACCAGCTGTAGCCAGCAGGAGGGGCCTTGTCATCCTTATTGCTCTCCAGGGAAAACGGCGGGATGCGAACATCAAGCTGAGAACCTTCCGGCTTCTCGAAGCGGAACGTACCCCTGCAGAGAAGGAAATGAAAGGATGTCAGGCTGAGCTATGTGACCCCGCTGGGCTCAGATTCAGGCACCTGAATCCCGAAAATCTAACAGTGACTTCAGAATAAAATCTGGTCTGTGAGTGACTGCATTCCCAACAGCTTTGACTGAGGCCCCTGTGACAGTGCTACTAGGCAGCTCTCCCACTTGTACTGTCCAGAGTGGTGTCCTGTCTGAATCCCACTACCCTCTTCATGCAATCTCTCCAGTGACACACACTACTGACATACCACTGAAAACAACAGAATATGTTGGAAATAGTCAGCAATAGTCATCATCTGTGCTGGCACATTCTTCCCCCACTGCCTCTGCACTTGTTTAAAACCTGTCACTTCTCTAACTCTTTGCAGTTCTGATGAAAGGTGAACAGTGGAGAGTTGCCAGGGGAGGGGACAATTCAGTTTTTGGCTCAGTTTTTCTCCCCACAAATTCCAAGCAATCTGCTGTTTCCAGCATTTGCTCTTTTAGATTTCGGGTTTCCAGTGTGTGCAGTATTGTATCTATTGTTGTTTTAGTTCAATAACTGTTTGGGGAGACAGTAGAGGTCATTCTACAGGTTGTGCTGGTGATTTACAAGGATAAGATTCTGGGCATTATGTACAAGAATATACAGAAGTAAAATAAGTGAAACATTACTGACCAAAAATCTTCATTTAAACCCATCACTGAGCATCAGTAGCAGTTAGACACTTCCTGGGCAGGTGTTTTTTTAATTCATTCAAGGGACAAGGGTATTACTGGCTTGGCAGCATTTATTGTCCATCCCTAATTATCCAGAGGGCAGTTCAGAGTCACCCACATTGGTGTGGGCCTGGAGTCACATGCAGGCCAGACCAGGTAAGGATGGCAGTTTACTTCCCTAAAGGACATTAGGGAACTAGATGGGCTTTTTTAATTCAAGATTTTTTTTTGTTGAATTCAAATTCCACCATCTGCCGTGGCAGGATTTGAACATGCTTCCCCAGAACATTATCTGGGTCTCTGGATTAACAGTCCAGCAATAATACCACTAGGCCATTGCCTCCCCTTTGACCCATCTTGGGTGTAATATATATCGAAATCTCAGCATGCATAAAAGAACCAGCAACACAGAGAGCAATAAGACTCAGTTACTAAGATACACAACTTAATACAGGATCAGAACTCAAGAGTTCAACATATTCAACTGGGTATGGCATCATAGTTGTCAACCCTGTCGTCAGCCAATGTTTGCTGTCACAGTTATACTCAGCTGACTCTGAGGTTATTTAAAAACCAACACTAGTACATTGGGATCTGGCTGTGAGCACTACCGTCTATAATGACCAGCGCTGAAGCAATGTTATTAAACTCAAAATCACTTGTAATATACCATATTTAAAGTTCAAAATCTAGAATTACTGTGAGTTAATAATCAATGTCATACTGTTAAACATTATTAAACTGCCGGTTACAAGGCTTGAGTGTAGCCACTGTTTTGTATTAAATTGCTCCACATACGTTATTTAGCTTTATTCCAACAAAAGGAGACAGTATATACCACTCCCTCCCAAAATCTCAAGAGTTCACACTCAGAACCCAGTGACTGCAGGACACAGTTACTGACTTAGTGAAATATAGAGTCCCTTTTAAGGAGGTTCCGTCACTGACATTCACAGTCAGTACCTCACATCTCTAACACCATACAGTAAACCCAACCACTCAGAGCATGATCAAATTAATTTGCAGGCCTCTGGTTAGGGTTGCTCAGCCAAGAATAACTTAGCAATCAAAATGGACAGAACTGGAAACTCATTTTGACAGGGGTAAACCCTGACCATGGAACAGTACAGTGTGAGTAAGCCTATGTTTACAGGAAGCACTAACTGGAGGGTGCTGATGTTTGTGGGACAGTGATGTGTGTACCTCAGTGTTATTTCACATTGCTAGCACTGTCCTTTGATGACAGAATTGCTGCTACACTCTGGTGTTCAGGTTGGATCCTGCCTGCATACTGTGTTTAGTTATTCAATCATGTGCTAGAAGCAAATATTCAGAGCAGGGAACCAAAGGGCCCTTCAGTCTCAGTAGCGCTCTCAAGAGAAAAGCATGGGATGGAAACATCTAAGGTGCTTGTGTCTACCTTTTGAAAAGTGTACAAACCCCTGAAGAAGGTGGAAACATTAATAAGCAGCAGCAATATCATCTATTCCATTTCATCATTGTCCCAAAACATTACTTGGAGCAGCACGCATCTTGGGCCTTTTCAACACCGGCTTATCATGTGCCTCTATAACAGTGCACCAACGTTTCTGCTTTTACTCATCCCTCCTCACTGCTAGTTTCAGCAGCAGAAGCCTGAGCTTTGTGTCCCTAAACTGACCATGGGTAAAAGGTTGGAATGTGGATTGTGATATATCCACCATCCTTTAAACATACCCACAAACAAGGAACAAGAGCAGGCCATTAGGCCCTTTGACCCTGTGCTGTCATTCAATAGTCCTGGCTGCGATGTGCTCATCAAAGCCAGAGAAAGGAGGCAGCCAATGAACACAGTGGGAAAAGGAATGAGGGACTTCAATTACATGAAGAGATTGGAGATACTGGGATCGTCCTCTCGACAGAAGAAGTTCAGGAAAAATTTCATCGATGGATTCAAAATTGAAGGATTCTGCTCAAACAATAAGAAGAACCTGTTTCCAGTGACAGGAGTGTCAGTTTCAAGAGGAACACAGATTTAAGGTGACTGATAAAAGAACCCAGAAGGGAAATGAGGCAATAATTTTGCAGTTATGATCTTGAATATGTTGCCTAGAAGGGTGGTGGTAGCCAACTCAATACTGTAGCAAATCTGAGACTGTATTCTTGTGTGCCCCAGAGTGTGCAACACATCACAGACCTACCCAACAGTACTGTACCCTAGTGTTATAGGGAGACAGACCCGTCCCCACCAGTACTGTCCCACAGTGTTATACAGTGACAGACCTGTC